ACGTTGATTTAACATCATGTGCTATCTGGGTGTTTTCTGTTAGTTACTGTTGTCGCTGTGGGAGGTGCAGAACAGAACCAAAATTAACAAAATTATTCAGATTTTTTTCCCTCATCACCTGTTAAATCAAAATAACACAAACACTTCGTAAAACTGAGAAAATGGCAAAGTTTGAAGATTGAATTTCTATCAAACTACATCTCTTTTTTTTAAAATGACGTACAGAACCTTCTCTCCAACCACATAAAAGACAAAAGAAAATCTACTGACTTTCATAGTGAGGAGCTAAGGTAAAACCATTACATTTCATGTATAATAATAGTTCACTGTATCCTTCATTTGCTTAATCAACACTTTTTCACCAAAGCTGCTAAATTACTATATCGACTTTATTGAATTGTATGCTTTCATTTCTCTGAGGCTAAATGTTCTGAAGCCATGCATTCTGAATCTAATGACCCCAATGGAAAATAAGATCCAATTTTTCCGAACCACAAGTACTAATCAGCGCTTATTCACGGTTTTCAGCAAAGGATTTACATGTGAAGTAAAACCCACATTTTTCAAAGAGAGCATTGAAAGCATTCAAAGATTTGTTACATTCATGAAGCGATTGGAAGTAAAACCAAAAGCGCTCTCTCCAAATTCACCGGGGAAAGGTTCTTCTTTGATCCGTTTTAAAGGACAATGATTGCCACCCTTAAAGAGGCCTTGCAAACTCTTGTGAGGTGGTAGCGCAATTGAATTTCTTCCCGTACAGATTCTTTAAACAGAACTTCATAACAAGTATTTGTGCATTTCAAGAATGCACAAATGCACAACTGAAGAATCTTACTCTCCGGGTGCCTGCTTGACCTTGTATCCAACAAACTCATCTCTTGACCTATTGGTTTTCCTGGTCGGCTGGGTGTTTCCTCTGATCCACAAACCAGCTCTGCTTCTGTAAGCCGTTATTAAATTCCATTTTTTCCTCAACTTTCACTCCACACTGTTACAAAAGCTCCATTAAAACTTTATGAAATCCCTTATTGAATATGAACATCCCCTTGCTGCCAAAGTTAACCCTGACAGAAAAGTCTGTACCGTTTGAAGGTCGAGTATTTAAACATACTTGCACTCAAATACCTGGTCGTCCTTGTGACTTTTCAGTGTATTCCATAAAGAACTTCAGATTCAGACAGATATTTAAACAACTTTTAAAAATTCAAAGTGTGCTCTATACACAAAAGTAAGGTAAATTCTGTTTTCCCAAAGGCATGTTAAGAAACTAGGCTGAGTAAATACAATTAAAGGTAGCATTTATTCTAAGTGGATTTTAGTAGCAGATGGAAAAACATTTGAGACAAAAGTCTTAAGTTTCAGTTTTTATAGAGGAGATTTTATGAAGTTTAGTTTGCAGAGAAAGGTGGTCTGATGAGATGTAATTGGCAGATAAAGAGAAGGTTAATACGGACAGACTTAATTAGAAAAGCTAGCATTATTTCACTGATCTGATGGTTCAGATCAGGAAGAAAAGGACCTGATTTCATTCTGACAGAAATGACAAAAGCAGAATGGGAACTCTGGAGATAAGAGTCCTTCACAGCATTGTTCTTTTCTCGACCATGGTGACCTCCTATAGGAAACGTGATTTTATAATTGCTTCGTATCAACAGAGCTTCACAGACATGGACTCTGCTTTTGGTAAGAATCCTCTCTAATCAGTCATTCATCCAATCCGCAGGAACTTCAGAGAGGCAGGCTCCACTTCTGTGAAAAACAACAAGCTCTGGCTAAGAGTGAGTCTGGAGAGTACAGTCACATTAAGTAAATTAGAATACGTGCTGGTGAGTCTCGTTTGTCAGATAAAAAGCAGCTTTTTAAAATCACAACCTTTAAGCAGGTATTAAAACATACATTTCATTAGGCTCAAATTTCTGGTTTTGAATTGGTCTGATGTAATATTCAAGTTTTAAAGTATAAAAACCACAATAATATAAAGATATAAAGACCTTCAAACATCCATCTGTGCTTGATTTATAATGTTTCATGTAGTGATAAAGGTAATAAAATGAATGTGCTTTTAATAATATTGTAATTCACTGAATTAGTCTGTAGCTTATGGAAATGATCTGACTCAGGCAGCCTCTGGTGCAGAGCCTCAGGAACGGCAGAAGCTAGGTGAGCGTCAGAGATGGTGGTTTCAGTTCGAGATGCCGTCTCGAGTTGTATTTAAGTCACAAAAATGAGACATCCAAGTCGACCAACACCTGTGCTTTGAAGACTTGAATAAGACCCATGGTCTTAGAATCAAGTTGGCCTGTGAGCTGCAGACTGCAGCTGCTGCAAATGTTGCATCGCGAATGGATGCGATTGGTTCCTCTCCAGTGATGTTGGTGAATAATGGGATGTTAATGGCTCATGAAAGTATGTTCAAGTTAGCTGTAGCTTCAAAATAATGAATGAATGTCTCATTAGCCTTAGCGATTGGGTGAAATTCAAAACTTCAATGCCTCCAGCAAGCAGTCATTCCTCAATATGCAAAAGGTCAAACCTTCTATGCAAAGCAAGGCGCAGAACAAGCGGTCGGTTTTCACCAGGCTACTTCTCCACCGTGTCCACTTCTTGTCCAATGATGGAAATAAGAATTGGACAAACTTTTTTTTCTTTAAATCTGGTCATCTCCTTTTTTTACTCTCATTCTAGATAAGATGATTGTTTTCACCCCAGGACACAAAGCATGGGATAGATATATCTCAAGTACGTAATACTATTTGTGTGTATATAGATTTCCTAACCAATCAGTGGGACCGTCTGACTGATACAAATCCTTTGGCTTCCCAGAAACCACATCTGCAGGAAATCATCAGCCTATGTGACTGTTTAAAAAGAGAACTCAATTAATCTCTCCATACTTGTGTTGTGTCACGTTAAGTTTACTTGCTAGCTTTACTTAGATGGTCTGAACAAAAAAGGACTATTGCTTTTCTACTAAAAAGATGTCATATTTTCATTATTCTTTCACAGTTGAAGACCATCTTGTAGAGGCAGAAGAGTAAATGACAGAGGTGGAAGAAAAAACAGGAGGTGTGACAGGAAAGGAGGATGGGAAGGCTGGCAGTAGGAAAGGAGCATGCTGAGGTTCTTCCTGAATTGAACCTATTAGGGAGTGTGTTCAGCTCGTTTGCTCCGTCCAGACTGATCCTCCTTTCGCTTGAGGCCTGTGATCTTCTTCATCCCTGACCACACAACCCTGCTGGTTATTGCTCTGTTGGAGTTTGCTCTCCAGCTTCTTCCTGTACGCCTCCCTGCTGTCTCTAATTTTCCCCTTAAAGTAGCTTCTGTATCCCTCAATAACTCCCTTCCTCCATCCATCATTGCTCTTTTTATTTCTTGTGTAGCAGTTCCTCCAGGTCACCGTTGATCCAGAGTTTTGCTATTAGGCGAGTATCTCACTCTTCTGATGGGGATGGTTGTCCACAAAAGACTTCATATAGTCGGTCACACAGTCAGTCATGTCATTGATGTCCAATCCCTGTGGCACAGAGCAATCCTATCTGCAGCCTCAAAACAAACCTGCAGAGTTTCCTCAGCTCCTTGTTATCACTTTCTCACAATTCTCTTTGTTACAGGCTGAATCTGAACTAGGAGTTTATATTTTAAGAGAGAAAAACAGTGATTTCATTTTCCTAAGGGAGGTCTTGCTTCGGAGATGTATGATTCCTTGACATTTGAAAAGAATAAATCCAATATCTTGCTTTCTCTCTTTCTACAGTTGGGAACTTTCTGCTAAGCATTCAATGTCTTTGCTGCAGAGATGACAACACGTGTTGCTGACAAGTCCTGTGTTCAAATTCAGTCAAATTCAAAAACACCTTACTTATCCCAAAGACAAATCAAAAGCTGATGACACTAATATGTTCAGAGTTGTTGTGGGTAGGAAGAATGTTGAGTGACAGTAAGTCTTGTAGTGAATCTGAAGCAGTGAAGACTGTTGCTGTACAATGATTGTCATGACAGGCAAACGGCTCAATATCCAGGAAACAGAGACAATATCCCACGGTAATATAACCCGGATATATGCAAACACACAATGCCTCAACCAATAAAATATATTAATAAAATACAAGTCTGTACAGGAAAAATCTAAGAAATTTATCAAACTGATCACAGCAGCATGTTAAATGTTAAGAAGACCAGCAAGAGGGAAGAGAAGGATCTGATGCTGTTGGAAGATGTGGGATCCTTACCTTTGAGTTTCTGTGTAGTTAATGTTGGTTAGGGTAAAACTGCAGTACAGTCCAGCGATATGCAGAATTTTAGACCTGAAAACATTAAAAAACAGGTGAAAAATATTTCCCTTTAGGTGTGACAGCTGCTTTGTCTGTGAATGATCAGCATCTCCATCAGGAGAAAAGGCTCAGGCATGCACAGCAGCTTGAGCCCACTGCGAACCAGGAAAAACAAGATAATAGACAGAGAGCAGGAAACAAGATAAACTCTTGTTTTGGAGACAAAAAAGCAACAGCTGGAGATTCCCTGCAACCAGCTCCACACGACTCTGACTGCCCATGTAATTAGGACTGTGGTGGAGGATTTCCAACAATCAGAGAGTAGGAAATGAGAGGTTAGGACACAGAGAGCATGGCTTGATGGGAAAAACTACCTTCAATCTCTTTGAATACTTTGACTGATGGAAGAAGTATTAGATTAAATAAGCATTAGGTGTTTCCTGGGCTGAAGGTGGCAATAAAATTACGCTTCTTTCCCCTCACAATTTAGACTACCGCCAGCTTAAATCACGGATAGGTCTTTATATCATAATCATGTTGAAATCTAACTGATGAAAACAATTCAACAAATGCATTTCCAAAATTTTACACAAATTAAAATGCGCAATGAAAAAGTTGACCCTTCAATGAAAAGAAATAGTAACGACTTTCTATATATCATAACAGAACCACAAGTTGCAGATGTTTCCTCTAACTCATTTTAACATAGTTGTGGAGAAATCCTGGTCTCTTTCCATCTCTGTTCGTTGTTGGTTTAATCTGTCAGACAAACAATCTCAGATTTTAGTCGGGGTGTAATGGCTCACCTGGTTTAAAAGTCATGGCTCAGCACGTTCTCAATCTGCTATACAATATATGTTTTAATTTTTTAATTCTTTTTGTCGGTCAGCTAAACTTAAATAAATTTTATCATGTTTAGAACTGACCAAAGATTTTTTTTTAGGTAAATAAAGTAGCACATGCAGTCAGAGCCTGTGCCAGCAGATGGAATTTACAAAAATGTAATCAAATGAAAATATTCACTGTTTATGTGTAAATGATTGAATAATACTTGTTTGAGAACGCAACACGTCTAAATCACTTAAGAGTTGTTTTGTTTAAAACAACCTAATTTATCCTCCGTACCTGTTAAACTAGGTTGTGTGTCTTTTTTTAAAGTTGCGGTGAATTCTAACCTTCTGCATGCGTTATACTATAACGATGTATTGGTTTAATACGTGCCAAGCAAACAGACTGAGCTCTGGTGGATGTTTTCAGTATGAATTTATTTACAAAAATAAATTCATACTGAATTTATTTCAGTATGAAATAAATTCAGTAAAATAAATTCAGTAT